TTGCATCTTTAAAAAAAAAAAACCCGGTAAAAAGAACATATATGAAATTACCTGATCGCGAAAAAGTATTTAACCTTTCCAAATATGAACATTTCCACATATAAAATAAATAAATATCCAAAAACTTTTAAACCTCCAAATCATCTATTACATTATACATGTCACCAACAATTCATACCGCAAGAGCATTACAAATACTTAATATCAAATATTTAAATTATTTCCACGTTTACTTCAACTAAACGTAAAACCAAATTCCTACAAACATAAAATTCACAAAATAACTATAATTTAATTATTATCATAAAATGTACAAGTCGACTTATTTTTACTTAAAAATCCCAGAATTGCAACAAAATGGCATTGCGCACACTCTTCACTACATCCATGTACACTGCTTTTTTCTCATAATTTAGAAAAATTTCACGAAAATACATGACAATTTTCTCAATCTTTAAACCCGGTAAAAAGAACATATATGAAATTACCTGATAACGTATACCAAATTCCTACAAACATAAAATTCACAAATAACTATCATTTAATTAAAATATAATTAAATTCAAAAACACTACTTAAAATATAAATGAGCACATACATTAAATTAATAAAATTACCTTACAATCCTAATTACTTTAAACTAAATCATTGCTAATAACAATTTTCCCAATAATACCAATTCCTTTACTTCCACCTTACATTTAGAACAATGCATAAAAATAATATCCTCAAGTAATTAAAAATACTAACTTACCTAATCTTCTTCAGAATCTTGATTACGTGTCCAATAAACTTTTCTTAGTTACGGCCATGGTATCCAAAAATTCACGAACACTGTTCACACAACACAGAATAAACCAAATACAAAATTTCCAGATTTTTTCCCGATTTGCCCCCTTTTCGGATTCAAGAACCGTAATTCGTCCATTAATATCACATGACATATCCCATGATCTCTCATTTCCCTCACACAAAATAATGCGTAATCGGAACTGAGTACTGCTCACATTATTACCAAAGTCCCAGGTAGTAACCTTTATCGCCTCCAAAATGTCGCCAAACTACCAGTTACCATATTGTAAAGATCAACCAACACAAAAATTCCAAAACAAACTGGAGAGAAAGACTGCAGACGATTTTATAAATTATTGCTAATTGCTTTTGAGTAAAAATAAAAATCCAAAAAAAATATTTTTATTGTAGTACGTAGTAGTATCTAATGGTGTCCCATCACTTATGTGAGCCATTTTTTGCTCCGTTCTAAACAATTGTATTTTTATTAAATTATTACTTTAATATTTTGAAAAAATGTATGTTATGTAATAATTGTTTCTAAATTTAGGTATGAAACACACTCACAAAAATTTTTTACATGTTTTTTTTAATTTATTTTATTACAGTTTCCTTTTGTAAAGCGCAATTGTCCCATCACTTTTGTGAGACACTGTATATATTTTATGATATATACAGTGTCTCACAAAAGTGACACTTTGGACAGATATTATATATGAGATGGAAACGGCATGGAAATTATATAAGATCTTACACAGAATGTACGCTATTGTTTTATAACATAAATAGCCTATTTATTTCAAGAAAAATATGCTTTTAAAACATTTTTAGTTTTTACTGTGGTTACAATTACATTTATTAGGAATGCTTCCCAACTCTGAATATATACATATAATACCAAGATAAGGAGAAAAATGAATTTTTTAACAGTAAAAGCAATTTATTTTTAATCTTATGGTATTTTATATTAAATAAAGTTTAATAATTTGTTCACATGATGAACTCACCGGCAACAGTTACGAAAGAAACCTCATATACGCGAAAGTACCTCATTGGCTGTTCCAAAGACATACAGATATTATTGGCTGCACATTTATGCTATGTCTTTTACCCAAAAAACAATATCAAATCTTGTTTTTAAAAAATGTAAGTAGATAAATAAGTAATGGACTGATACACAAAATTTTATTAGTCGCTTAGAATTAAAATGTTAAGAAACTAAGACATGGCTTAAAAAAGTCCAAAGGTAAAATTTAAAATTTTAAATCCATTATTTAAGAAAGAATCATTTACAGCAGCCTAATAAAAAGGACATCCCACTGTTCAATGTATTTTGAGCTTATAGAATGATTTCTCATAGTTTGCCTAATCAAAGAAAATCTTTAGAATTTAAGAAGGAAAACAACGAACTTATTTCTGGTTTAAGAGAAGTTCTCGACACTTGTTGCTAATAAGACAGTGAGTAGAAAACTTATCAGCATTTTCGGCTAGTAACAACAAGGAAACAGGCGACAGCTATCCTCCTGCAATCCTTATGAATGAAATATCTGCTACTTTCTACCAAAACTTTAGATTTCTTCCTGTATATGAAATTCCAAATCCCATATTTTCGAAAAAATTAGTTCATAAATCTTGAAAAAAGGCGGAATAGAAATAAATTAATTCATCCAATTAAAATCCAATTATAATTGAGTAACTATTTTAATAGTGTATCAATAATAATAATAATTATAAGATGCAATAACTTTTAGCACACATTAAGTGCATAAAGAAGATAAAGTTTCGCTATGGGTATTTTATCAAGGAAAAATCTGCTGTTGTAAATATGTTACAACACATGCTTGCACAAAAATGGCAAAAAATGGCTAAAATTTTAGGACATTCAGTCAAAGAATTTCTCAGCGATAATGGAGACGAGTTTGACAATGACAAAGTGCGTGCTATTTTGCATTCTGAGGGTATAACTCAAAGACTAACAGCACCTTATTCTCCTGAACAAAATGGCTCTAGTGAAAGAGACATACGTACAATAATCGAAATGGCAAGAACATTTAAGCACTCAAATTCTGAAGCTCATTTTCCTGCAGCAATATGGGCTGAACTAGTCAACACTGCCATATATGTACTAAACAGAACTGGCGAATCATCAGTAGAAGGCATGAGTCCTTATGAGCTATGGTTTAAAAAGAAACCTCGAATTAAGCATCTTCGTATAGTAGGATCTGTGTGTTATGTCCATATTCCTAAACAAAGAAGAAGGAAAAGGGATAATAAGGCTACAAAAGCTTATTTAATCGGTTATAACGGAAACGAAAGATACCGACTATGGATCAAAGAAACCAATAGTGTGATCTGTTCACAAGATGTTATATTTAACGAAAAGCTCACAAGTTGTGAAGAAAAGGTGCAGTTACCTATTCAAGATCAAGATAGCCTAATTTCTGGCTCTGAACATCAACAAAATTCAGAAAATATAAGTCAGAAAAGTTTCTTTGTGAAGGAGATAATTCAGAAAAAGAATACAACAAAGAAATATCTGTAAATATATCAGAAGAACATTCTGAAAGAGAAAAATGTGAAGATATTAATTTGCAAAATAATGCACAGTCAAGATTCCTAAGAGATAGAGCTGACTTGAGAAAGCCAAAGCGTTTTGAAAATTATATAATGATAAGTGAAGCTTTTATTATTGATTCTGAAGAACCTGAATCTTATGAAAAAGCGATCAACTGTAAGCAAAGTGTTAATTGGAAAGAAGCTATGGATTCAGAGATGAAATCATTGATAGAGAATGAAACATGGAGTTTAGAAAAATTACCAAAAGATGCTAAAGCTATACCATGCAAGTGGGTTTATAAGATCAAAAGGAATCCTGATGGATCTATTGATAAATTCAAGGCTAGACTTGTTGCCAAAGGATGTACTCAACATTTTGGAGTTGATTATGATCAAACGTTTAGTCCAGTAACAAAGTTAGGAACTATTCGTTCAGTTTTGAGCATCGCAGCCAATGAGAAAATGCATCTTTCTCAGTTTGATGTCGGTTCAGCATTCTTATATGGAAAACTTGAAGAATCTATATACATGCAGAAGAGAACCAGAAGGATATAGTGACCGTTCGAAGAAAGTCTGTAAGTTGAAACGCAGTTTGTATAGACTTAAACAATCATCACGCTGCTGGAATAAATATTTTGGAGATTTTGTGTCACAGCTGGGCTTCAAGAGAAGTGAAGCTGATCCATGCTTATATATAAGAAACAATAACGGCAAGAAGCTAATCGTATGTTTATATGTAGATGATGGTTTAGTAGCATCAACAGATCTACAAGAATCTGAAAAATTTCTCAGAGAATTGAAGTCGAGATTCAGAATCACAACTAAACCAGCAGTATACTTTCTTGGACTTGAAATTAAACATTTTGAAGATGGAAGTATTAAAATTAGTCAGCAAGCTTATGCAAGAAATTATATACTGCATATTATTATACTTATTTTAAATTATATACTGCATATTCTTTAATGCATGTCTAATGTATTACATTTTTATACACTACAAATTCAAATAAAAGTAGAGGAAAATGCATTATAATTTAAAACATAAAATTTCAAAATTTATAAATTACTGATCAAAACATGAAATTAATACATTGATATATACATTAGTTTAAAAATTACAATTTTAAATTAAAAGTTGTACCCCTTCTTTATATGTGAAATAGGAAAACACCAAATATATTATTTTCACTAAAATTTAATGAAGGCATTGGTAGTGTAGAATAAATAAATAATGTAGAATCGTGACCATCAAATGCGTTATTTCTATAGCGAAATACTCGAGTTTTTCACAAATCTTAAGAAATTAAAATATCTATTACGTACACTTTCAAAAACAATCCGTGACCTCCGCCGTCCTCAGTTTAGCTCTAAAACGACAGCCAGAAACTTAAACGGCAGCTGTCCAGCTGACGGAAAAATTTCCGATGCGTCGATCTCTGTAATGATCGAGACGATGACACCAGACTCGCTCTTTGTCGAGTAGATCGCAAAAAGCGACCCGTTCTTCTATCTCGACGGTGTCCAGACTAGCGCCCTTAATTTCTAACTTCGTGGATGAAAACTTTCATGGATACGATAAAATAAGCTTAATTCATAAGCATTAATTTTTTACAACAGAGAGTTTATTTTATAATTTTCATTCTTGCTAACCCTTAAGAACGTCATAGATGGGGGGGGGTGAGAAAGACCTACAGCGCCATCGCAGTTTTCTCTTTGCCAGACGATCTTCTTCTCAATCTGGCAGTCACTGTATTCGCAAGCGAGTTAGTACTGTTTTTAATCAGGTGAGCGTTCAATGCAATTCTTGGGTAAGTTTCTTCGTGTTAAAACTAATTCTGTGTTTCGTCCTATTCATAAAAGTTTGAGTATATTGTTAATATTTCCCTTTCCGTTAAAAATATCTCGATGTAGATTTAAAAAAAAATTGCAAACCAGTTCGTTGACTTAACCGTTGTGAAGTTCAGTTGTATTGCTAGTAATGTATAGTCGTGTTAATAATTTTCGCTATTCTATATAATTTTTTTTTGTGCATATTTTCGGTATTTATTCGTTAATTTAAAATAGCTGCGAAAAATAAAATATTTAAAAACTGTTTGATTCATTTAGGATGGAAAAGAATGTTTAGCATAAGATGTAATTTTGTAGACCTAATTCACTTGCTACTCAATATTCACAGTATTTCTAAATAGAGCAAGCTTTAAACTCATTTAATAGGTTGAATGGTATGCAGCGAACATTACATGATTAGTAGTTACTTCAGCTATCAGTAGTTATACTATAATAACTACTGATCGCAATTTAAAACTAGTAAATTTCTGTATTATCTTTTCTAAAGACTTGATTACTTAAAAATTTTAGTCTTCCCTAACCCGCAATATAAGATAACATTTGATTCTAATTCTGGCGCGAGTTTTTTCGTTCTTTAACGTAAGAATTTGGATTGTTTTTGAATAATTAGCTATCATAGGTTTGGAGGAGCAGGATAATAACTATCGAGACGCAAATTTTAGGAATTTTTTTATGGTTTTGTAAATATTAGTCTTAACAGTAATTGTCAGATCTGTTCGTTAATTTTATAGTTTACCGAATATTTTTAAATTTCTATATAAATTAATTTAAAACAATTTTCTAGTGGAATATATGTAAAAAATGCTTTCCAAATAAACTTGCAAAATTTAAATCGGAACCTTGAGCCATTAGTTATTACTCTGTTTTTCTGTTCATAGAATACTGGAAGAGAATTTTTTTCAAAGTTAATGTTAATAGTTGCCTTTCTGTCATTAGAGATGCATTCAGATGATTTAGGTTTAGCTTGATTTGACCTTGCTTTCGGCAAATGGCAAGTAGTTTTTCCTAAATGTAGAAACATGCAGTGTGATTGAGAAATGTAATGTATATGCAGTTTATTATTAATTATTATTAGGTACTGAATATAAATATATATTTAGTCACTGTATACTTAAATGGAAATCTAGATTGCATTATGTGAATTTGGTTGATTAGAAATGGGTAACTATGTAGTTTCATAATTCTTGACTTTCTGTAAAATGTTACATGCAGTATAATGGTCTTTGTCTAGGCAGTGTGTATTATCTCCAAATTACAGCTCATTTCTTGTATATGAGGAGATAGATATGTAGCATCCCATAATTGCTTCTGTTAAATTTAAATGGTATATATGAAGTACTAGGAATTCTTATGCTATTTTGTGGATGTAGTAGTAGATCTCTTTGACTGGATTGCAGAAGTTTCCTCTGGGACCAATGTTGACCTCTTGTAGATCTGTGAAATTTTACAGGGGGTCGATAGCCCCACACACACATGCAGTAAAGGCTAATACAGGATATTTTATAGTGTTTTTTAATCATCATCATGTAAAACATTAAGCTACAAAATTCTCTTTATTTCTGGATCATTTTATATTTGAAATAACAGTAAATTTGTGTATGTTGCGACTATCGTGGCATCATTGATTATAAGCCTTCTGTAAAATGTAAATTTTAATTGTAATCTGCTTTATTTATTTCTGTCTCTGTTTATTGGCGTATGAGATATATAACTCCATATTCTGAAGTAGCTTATGATTCATGTTTTATAATTTTGGCAATGAAGTCTTCATTATATTACACAAATAAGATTATTTTAATATAAAAAAATTTCTTAAATAGTAGAAAGTTGTTTTGTCCTGGATTTATTATGTTTAATATTATAGTATAAATTAACTGCATTCATGTAAATTATTTCTAAATTTTCAAGCTATGTTCAAGAATCTTCAAATAACATAAGTTTTTAACTTTGAAAACATTTATGTATAAGATTTTGGTACTGTTATCGGACCGGAATTTTCTTGTGTTTACTTTTTTTTTTGAAGGGGGTTGTTGTTGAAAAGGAAAATGAAATAAAGCCAGAGCTTCTGGGGGTGATTTTTAAATTTTATTTAACAGCAGATATTTAGCCTATCAGTTGGCAAAATAATATTTTTATTTTTTAATGGTAAATTCACTTCTATGGGGTTATATTGTAATCTCGGGTATTTCAAATTGCAATTCTAAATTTTTCTTTTCTTATTAATATTAAAATACTGAGTTCTCAAGCAAATTCCAGTAACAATGCTAGAAAATTTGGTCGTATTCGGTGTCGAGGGCCGTAAAAAATCGCCAAACTACTGTTGATGCCAATGCTGCCAAAAATAATTGTGACAAGAAAGGAAGTATAATAGTAAATAACTATCTAAGATTGATGGGTTGATCTTTACATTATGGTAACTTGGCGAAAATTTGGCAACCAACTCTCCTACAGCAACCCTCTATTTTTTTTCCCCGCCGCCATTTTGTCTTCACGAAGTAAAGACATGTTTCTTTTCTTCTTATCTACTGAACACTTCTTCCAACAATCTACTAGCCGAATTACACATATGCTAGAAATTTTATCAAACAAAACTGCTTAATCATGACAAATATTCACTGCAAAATTGGGAAAAAGTGCAAAATACCATACTCCTTACGCGTTTTTCAAAATAACACATACACATAAACCATGTACACGCCGACTTATTTTTACTTAAAAAAACATCCCAGAATTGCACAAAAATGGCATTGCGCACACTCTTCACTATATCCATGTACGCTGCTTTTTTCTCATAAATTAGAAAATTTCACGAAAATGCACATGGACAATTTTCTCAATCTTTAAACCTGGTAAAAAGAACACATATGAAATTACCTGATCGCGAAAAAGTATTTACCCTTTCCAAATATGAACATTTCCACATATAAAATAAATAAAATATCCAAAAACTTTTACCTCTAAATCATCTATTACATTATACACGTCACCAACGAATTCATACCGCAAGTATTACAAGTACTTAGTATCAAATATTTAAATTATTTCCATGCACGTTTATTTCAACTTAAACGTATACCAAATTCCTACAAACATAAAATTCACAAAATAACTATCATTTCATTAAAATATAATTAAATTCAAAAACACTACTTAAAATATAAATGAGCACATACATTAAATTAATAAAAATTACCTTACAATCCTAATTACTTTAAACTAAATCATTGCTAATAACAATTTTCCCAATAATACCAAATTCCTTTCCACCTTACATTTAGAACAATGCATAAAAAATAATATCCTCAAATAATTAAAAATACTAACTTACCTAATCTTCTTCAGAATCTTGATTACGTGGCGGATACACTTTTCTAATTCATTCAATAAAATTATTGAAAGATGTTTTCTGCGAATTTTTCCTCCATACTTCCTCCGCTAAATAAAAAGCAAACTTCTCTTTATCACAATGCCTAAATACCCATTTCGAATTCACTTTACTTAGGGCCATGAGATCCAAAAATTACAGAACACTGTTTCACACAACACAGAATAAAGCTAAATACAAATTTTCCACATTTTTTCCCGATTTCCCCCCCTTTTCCGATTAAAGAACCGTAATTCGTCCATTAATATCACATGACATATCCCATGATCTCTCATTTCCCTCACGCAAAATAATGCGTAATCGGAACTGAGTACTGCTCGCATTATTACCAAAGTCCCAGGTAGTAACCTTTATCGCCTCCAAAATGTCGCCAAACTACCAGTTACCATATTGTAAAGATCAACCGATTGATGTTTTAATTTAAATGAAAGGTTAATTTTATATAATACTTTGGTAAAAGTATAGTTGAGGGTACCCCTTGGCGATTTTAGGCGATACATGGATACCGATTTTGTACAATTGTTTGACTCGTTATTTTGGCTTGTGGAGCGGCGTTTTTTGGCACAAAAATCGCTGCTACACAAAGCCAAAATAACAAGACAAACAATTGCACAAACTCGGTATCCATGAACACATAGACTTGGTTTCACTTTTTAAAAAAAATCCCCGAATTGCACAAAAATGGCATTGCTCATTCTTTTAACTTTATCCATGAACACGTCGAGTTATTTTTACTTTAAAAAAAAATCCCAGAGTTGCACAAACTTGCATTGGGCACACCCTTCACTTTGTCCATGTACACATCGATATATTTTCACTTAAAAAGTCAAAGGAACACCACAAATTCTACAGTATAGGCAAACAAAAAAATACATAATCTCAATAAAATACGACAGCGTACTCGTTATTTTCGCTTGCGAAACGGCGATTTTTCGGGGGGGGGGGAATCGCAGTGACACAAAGCCAAAATAACAAGACAAACAATTGCACAAACTCGGTATCCATGTACACATAGACTTATTTTCACTTTTTAAAAAAAAATCCCCGAATTGCACAAAAATGGCATTGCGCATTCCTTTGACTTTATCCATGTACACGTCGACCTATTTTCACTTTAAAAAAAAAAAATCCCAGAATTGCTCAAACTCGCAATGCGCACTTCCTTTACTTTGTCCATGTACACATTGATATATTTTCACTTAAAAAGTCAAAGGAGCACCTAATTCTACAATATAGGCAAACAAAAATACATAATCTCAATAAAATACATTTTAAACCAAACAATAAAGTAACATAAAAAAGGAAAAACATGTTATATATTTAAGCTCTACCAAAAGCAAATAAATACACTTACCGTAATTTTCGAGTTTGCTTCGTGCACCCAGAGCCACGTAAAAATCAAAATATCAATCATACTCAAATGACTTTTTTTCAAACCAGGTACACTTTCTGATCGAACGCTTCACATAGTGACCATCTGAACCTTTCTTCCTACAAACCCATTCAAATCCATCTAAACGGTTTTTACGTTCGACTAGACGCATATCCTTTCTACGTACAGGACACTTATAATGG